CTTTACTCGATTGTAAGCCACGAGTAAAAATTAAACATTTAAATTCGTTTGCTGTGATTTGATTTACCTTGGATTCTTCACACATTTTGTTAACACGTGAAGTAAAAGCGATAAAATTTTCCGATTCATTTTTATTCAACTTTATACATTGGTATCTTGTGTGAAAAATTGTAGTTTTTTTACCAAGCAACTGGGTCTGTTTGTTTACAGTTTCACTGAAATCTTTGATTTTCTTAGGTAAAATGAAATTGACCTTTCATGGATTCGTGAGTCTCAATTTCCTTAGGAGAAGTCTTACTTTTGCGGAGTCTGAAATATTTTTGGCATCTTCTGTGAAAAGGCTTTGATATCTATTGTACCATACATCAAAAGTGCTCCCTGTTTCATGATCACAATGAAATTTTGTGATACTATTACCCAGGGTTTCCATCCGAAATTTTTCATTTGGCTTGGCTTGATTTTGAGTTAAATTTTGGAAATTTGTAGAAAACTGACCCAAAAAATCTTGCTGACTTTCGATTAGAAATTCTAGTTGATTCTTTAGGACGCTTGTGAGAACTTCCATCATTTGTTCAATGTTCATTATCCTACCGGTTGCGCCAAATTGTTGTAGTTCGGATTGGCTACAACAATATCTGTTTTTGAAAAGATTTTATTAAATTCAACAGTAAAACACAACTTTCAGGTATGTCCTGTTACTTCTGGTACTGTTTCCTAACAATAGTCATCAAGTGATCGCATATATGGCTTTACCTTCTATTTTCAAGAGAATGGATGAGAAGGAGCTTTATTCAGAACCGGACAAGGTTTCATCATTGCAGAAGTGATTCAACCAAAACAAAAAACACGATGACAAACCAACATACATCTACACCAACACGTGTTTTTCGTTTATTAGCGAAAAATATTTCACCACCTATTGAACAGCCGTAGCTGTAGTATAAAGGGATGCACTATCATGGCACGGAGATCCAGTATTCTGCCTCAATCATCAGTACCTACATGTTTAATAGTGTCATGTTTGCATTTTTATAACCATGACGTCCTGTTCTATTCCCAGTCAGTAAGTTGTACCAAGAGGAACAACAGGTAGCACCCTTAATGTACCTGTGTCACCGATGACCGTGGTTTGGAGGAGCTCTAGTGAAAGGGAGCTTCGCGTTAAACTATAGAGCTCTTCTCGATGCTACATCGTTGCCTGAGCAGAGAGAACGAGAATTGAAGAAGTTTTCCTAGAAAGGACAACAAGGATAAACTCTTGGAAGAACTGTATCGATAGTGGTTCACGATGTATGTCGTAAACGATATATTAAAGACAAATTATTCGCTGCATCTTTACGGAGGAAGCGATGATGCAATTTCTCATCCGCAACTGCGATCCACGTACCCATTCTCATTCAGAAATCACTTTTGTGCGCTGCTGAGATACGTATTAGCAGAGTTTAGAGCGCAACGGAAGCAGGCGGGCTTGTGCGATCGTAGTATTGTGTATAGTGTACATAAATTATTGATGAAAACTAGTATCTAAGAACGTTTAGTTAGAGCTCCTGATGATGATTGGGGTCGAGCGATTGTTGAGCGTATCGAGCATGTCAATGATTTGGTCGCAGTCGATGCACAGTGGACCACCATGTATATTTGGTATTGTTTTGAGTCAAGTTTGTTTAATCAATCATCTGAGACACCTCCACGTGCAATGTGATGATATTCTTGACAACATTTTCACTCGATATTTTCAAGACCTGCTCTCAATCTTTTTTTCTCACTCTTTAATTTGTCATGTTACTGAAGGGCTGTAGTCGTAAGCCTTTTGTCTCTGACAGGCAAATTTGCTAATTTTTGATAAGTCATCCATTCAAGTGCTTCTATGTGTTGCCTGACAGAAATCTTGGGTTCGTTTCGTTTATTCCAAAAATCAAAGTCCAATTAACACAGTAATAATTTATTCCACGTAACAATACACTCTGACACTAATTTCTTTAATAACTAACTCAACAATTAAACTCTTTACAAAAATCGTAATACAGTCAAACTGAAACTTAACTTACACACTAATGCCGGCCTTCTTATATACCCCTAAATCTATTCCTGTAAAATCTAGAATACACACGATAATCTTATTTTCCAGATTAAAGTAGAATAATTCGCTAGATTCTAGGATTTTCGCCGTCGAGGCTGAGATTCTTGACAGCCTGGCGAACAGGATCTTAACGGCTTGGGATTCTTCTTGTGTTGTTAGGACAATTTCTTCATTACCAAATTTAAGGATGTTCATGGAAGGATCGAAAGAAAAACCATGTTGGCCGATCAAATCCATTCCCAAAATAAAATCATCTTCTTTATCGGCGACTAATGTACTGTGCCTGAAGGCGGTAGATCCAAAAGTGAGCTCAACTATAGCTTTCCTTGAATTGGTGCAGATTCGCCCGTGTCTGTTCGTAGTGACAGGTTTCTAGTGAGCGGTTGGATTGCCCGAGACTTGACTAATGTTCTTCTAATTATGGAAAGTTCAGCACCCGTATCAAAAGTGATGGTTTTCAATTCTCCATTGATTTGCCCTTCGAATTTTAATCCTCTATAATGACTGGCCAATGATTTTATGTAAACAACCCTGGGGGCTTCGTCATTACTAACCAGCATCCGCCCCTCCATACTGGTTAGTTCTCGTTTCCCTGTCTGTTATTAGGGCTAGCGTCTCTTGATCTCGAAAAGCGTTGGAAACGATCCCTTGATGGAGAGGACATCCTTACTCTACAATCTCGTTGAATATGCCCACGCTTATGACACCGGTAGCACTCTATTCGGTTTCTCGGGGTTGCTGTTTGTCTGGAATCGTTTCTCATTTTTCTATCTTCTAGTAACAGTTTCTTCATTCTCTCCATGAAATTACTCATTACAGTCTCGAAGGTACCATCCTCCTTTGACAACTGTTTATCTTTTGGGTCTTCAATGGACACTGCACGTATTCTGGGTCGTGAGGCACCAAAGATTGCTTCCAGTTCTAATGCTCGAAGAAGGGCTTCGCTACTTTGTCTGAACTTAGACATTCTTAGGTTTTCCTGGATCTTCGAATCTCTGAGACCATCAAAAAACGCAGATACTGCCATCCATTCCTGCATGTCTTCCCCAGCTGCAGGAAACGCCAAACTCACTAGCCTTTTAACTTCCGATTCGAATTCTTGTAGACTCTCGCCGGGTTTTTGAACTCTTGATTTAACTTGAGTTCTGAATACTTCTTGTCTGTAATGGTCTCCGAAGCGCAATTCCAAAGTTTGACTAAGATGCTGGTAATTCTGTTGGTAGATTGAAGGAATGGACTGAAGAAGATCTAAGGCTGGTCCTCGTAGCGCCACTATCACTGGAGTGTATTTCTAATCTACGCATCTTATCTTCGAGTGCTTGAACTTGGTCCTCAACTTCTTGTCTTAATTGCTGAACATCGGCTTTGACCTCAGCTTTTACTCCCTGAACGTCTTTTTCAACTTTTCTAACATCTCTTTAACTTTTTCAATCTTCTGGTCTAGGTTAGCGACAGTTCCTTGTATGGTTTGGAATATCTTCTGCAGTTTTCCAAGGTCTTCTTGCCGTTCTTGTTGTCGCCTAGCTTCTTCTTCTTGTTTTTCTTTTTGTCGCCTGAGTTCTTCGTCTTGTTTTTCTTTTTGTCGTCTAGCTTCTTCTTATTGTTTTTCTTTTTGTCGTCTGAGATCTTCGTCTTGTTTTCCTTTTTGTCGTCTGGCCTCTTCGTCTTGTTTTTCTTGTTGTCGTCTGGCTTCTTCGTCTTGTTTTTCTTGTTGTCTTCTAGCCTCTTCTTGTTGTCGTCTAACTTCTTCGTCTCTTTTTTCTTGTTGTCGTTTGGTCTCTTGAAGTTCCAACATGTTGCGCAGAAGTTCTTCAACTTTTTGTTCGTCCATTTTGGCTTGTTGTCTTGTGATAGGCATATACAGAATGTTCTGGAATTTCCCTCCAACTTTATTCAAATATCTTTTCCGATCTTTGCTCGAAGTTCCAAATACGCCGGTGAAGTCACAAATTGGATGACTTGCTTTATTCTAGAATAGAATGTTCTGGGATTTTCTTGAAATTTCTTTTCTAGGTGTCGATTGATAGAGCAAACACGTTGGTGAAGTCACAATTTTGATACCTCCCTTGGTTTTCAAATAGAATGTTCTAGAATTTTCCCGAAACTCCTTGAAAAACTTTTTTCTGAATGACGATTGATGTTCCGAATATGTCGGCGAAGTAACAAATTCGATATCTTCCTTAGTTTCCAAATAGAATTTTCTAGAACTCACTCGAAGATTCATTATTAAAGTCAAAGTCGGGTATAGAGTCACTTCCGGAGTAATTCACACGATCGGTTAAGTCTCTTTTTGTGACTTTCACTGTTTGCACTGCACTGTCCCAGTGTTCAATTAGTGTTCAGTTTTTACACTACACTAGTGTCCCCGCACTTCCGCAATTGGATTTAACTCTGCAGTCCTTTATGTCTCACTTCTGGCACCAATTGTCACGGCTTTGGATTGCCTGACAGAAATCTTGGGTTCGTTGTTCGTTTCGTTCATTCCAAAAATCAAAGTCCAATTAATATAGCAATAATTTATTCCACGTAACAATACACTCTGATACTAATTACTTTGATAACTAACTCAACAATTAAACTCTTTACAAAAATAATCACTATTTAAATCGTATCACAGTCAAACTGACAATCCCTAAATCTATTCCTGTAAAATCTAGAATACACACGATAATCTTATTTTCCAGATTAAAGTAGAATAATTCGCTAGAATCTAGGATTTTCGCCGTCGAGGATGAGATTCTTGACAGCCGGGCGAACGCCACGCCACACTATTTAATTTCAATCATAAAATCGGGAATAAAATAAACAATTTCGAGCGGATAAGCGATTTTGTTGACCAATTGTACAAGAATCTACTGATTCAACACATATTTTTCGCATTTATTTTTATATCAAATTTAAACAAAATATTCTATTCTAGGATGACGATCTGAAAAAGAAGAATTGCAAAAAAGTGGCCCTACTGGACTTCCAAATGTCTTCCTTACGCAGCCCCGTCTTTGACTTGAGCCACCTCTTATATTCCGTCGCTTCCCACAAAGAACTCCGTCATTTTAGAGAGCTGATTGACCACTATTACTTTTACTTATGCAGCCATATAAAACAGTTGGGAAGCAACCCAGAAAAAGTTTTTCCATTCAGAACATTGAAACTTCATTGGAGGAAGTATTCTGCTTACGGGGCTGTTTTGAGTCCCTTTATTGCGATGTACTGTTATATGGATAAAGAGAACACTGCTGATTTTGGAGTTTGTCAAACTTTGAAGAATGCCACCACGAAACAGAAATATATGAAGAAGGTTATTGATGTTGCCAGTCATTTTGTTGAATGCGAATTATAATTTTTATTCATTAGGCATTTCGATTTACTCAACGTTACTTGTTTTTGTATCCATTATAAAATTAATTATAGCAGTACCTGGGTTTATTCATCTTTAGATAAACTTGTTGCAATCGCGATTTAGGTGGATGCAATGTCTGTTGGCTCCATATGCAAAATCGAAACTGGGACTCGTATTTTCCCTGCACAGTTTTAAACCGAAATGAACCTGGTCCGACCCACCCCCCAAACCCAATTTTTTTAAGTTTGTTTCTATTAATATTTTAATGGGATTACTTAACAGGCCCCGAAGACGGAGCCTAATAGTTCGGAAAGCTTGGCAACATTGAAATATGAAATTACCTACCAAATATCCAATTTCTTGACTTCCTGTTTGACTTGCACCTTATCTGAACCATTATCATTATCAAAATATTATTATACTATACATATATACTTTGATTCGAAAAATAGTTTAGTCCCACACCTAAATAATATGTTCAAGGGCCAACGCAACACACTTAATGTACCTAAGTAGCACCTTCTATATAGAAAAAGCAATTATGATCTCAGCCCCATTATAAGATCCAGGAAAGTTTTGAGTGGACCAATATACGCATTTTATTGTTCCGAACGAGTTATGCTCCAATTACGTTACCCTCATCACGTTCAAAGACTGAAAGTGCGACAACATCTCAATATGTTAATTTTAACTACCCTAAATTGCTTTTTTACTCAATTTTCTTGCGCTAAAGTATCTTGTTCACAATCATGTCGAAGGACCATTGAGTTTTCCTTTATATTGTTCCCCTGTGCATTATCAAATCATTTCTATGCACCTTAATGAAACTTATATTATCCATCCGTCAGCCGCAATAAAATTAATAATACACAATGAAGCCCATTTCAAAGTCATGAATGGTTGAAGTTTGTTAATTAAAAGTGAATATTCAATTATGACACTTTTAATAATGAAGGAATGGCGCGGAGCGGAGTTGCTTCTGAGGCGCTCAGCCACTAGTTTTTAATTAAGCCTACAATTTAGTTTTCGCAATGACGAAAGTCCAGGAAAATTATTTTCTATTTTATGCGAATTTTCTTTGTATAGTTTTTAATAAAAATTTTAGGTACCTAACAGGTGAGTCCACAAAGAACTCAACTCGAAAAACTTAAAGTGAAGAGAAATGCTAAAAATTTAATAAGAATATTAAACTATTAAAAGTCAAGTTGAAGGGTTATTACAAATAAAGATAGTAATTTGTAATTTAGAGCAAGAGAACTTAAAGGGCCGTAGAATTTAAAAATAAATAAAACGTGTAGCCGCTTTATGTGCAAATAAAACTACTCAAATTCCAACAAACAATAATTTTATTTAGTATTTGTAAATATTAACAATGTATTGGGTTGTATCTAAGGGTTGTATCGTGTAATGGACTGCTTAAATAAATTTCTGTTCTCGTAATTTCATGAAATATAATTTTTCTACAAACGTCACTAAAAGTGTCATTTTTAACGGATGCTGTCAGTGTCTTAAATGCCATTTTATGACACTGGTGTTAAAAGTAATTACTTTTAGCACTAGTGCTAAAAGTTGGTTGTTTGGTTGTTGGGTTGTTTCCTATTGTGACAACAAATATTAAAGCCAATGTTTCCTTCTCTATTTGACTGTATCTCTTTTCTGATAGTACCATTTTTAAATCTGTGTAAAATACAGGCTCCTATTCCAGTGATACTTGCATCGCCCGCTATAATGATTTTGTGAACTGGGTTGTAGTTGGTTAAACTCAGATCCGACTTCATTTTTTTTTTTTTAATTTTTCAAACGATTCTTGACATTCTGTCTTCCATAAAAATTTGATTCCTTTTTTATTATAATTCGTCTAGTGGTTGACGTAACACGTGTATTTCTTTGATAAGTTTACCATAATATCTTATTGCTCCAAGATAGAAATGTAGTGTTGATATCATGGGGTGGTGGCATATTTCTGATAGCTTCAGTTTTTACTGGATCTGGTTTCAACTCACCTTCACTTAAAAAATATCCCAAATTCTTCATTTCTTTGACTCCTAATTTACATTTTTTCAATTTTTAGTGAAAACCAAAGCCTTCTATATGCCTTAGGACAAGATTTAAATTTTGAAAATGTTCCTCCTCTGATTGGCCTGATACTAAAATGTCATCGATATATGCCGTGGATCCTTTCAGACCTGATAACATGGTGTCCATAACTTGTTGAAACATGGCTGGGGCAACTTTTATACCAAATGGCATTATATTTTCTTGATTCCTCACTGATTTCAATTTGAAGGACAGTATCAGAAAGGTCAATGATACTAAAAATTGTAGCATTTTGTAACTTTGAAAAATTTCTTCGACTGTTGGAAGAGGGTAATGATGTGGTAGAAGTGCTTCACTAGCACCAGTAGAGTAATCCCACATAATCTAACATAGCCGTTTTGTTTCTTTGTAACTACAATTGCAGCTGCCCATCAGAATATTCAACTAATGATATGATATTTTTTTCTTGCAACCTTTGAAGTTCTTGTTCAACTTTATCCATGACTGAATAAACTACTGATCTTTTTGCTTCATAGACAATAATTTAATATCCTATTTTCATTGCTTGACACAGCAAGCGAAACTGGAATCAATAGGCTCATCATGCATCAGAGGCTTCTACAGGTGGAATTAGAAAAAGAATCGAAGAAGTTATGCCGCATATCAACAGATCGTGAAAGCAGTGACCCACTGGGAATAACTATTCCTTTAAGACAGGCGTTGCAAATACCTTACAAATAGTAGACATATATCTTTTTTTTTTTAGATTAAAAATATCTCTGTTTTTTCTTAGTATCAAAGCAAAACATTTTTGCAAAACAAAAACCGCATCGCGAGGCACCAGTGTTTTTGGAAAATTCTCATTGTCCTACAGGTACATATACGGCGAGCGGCATAAATTCATGCGCAAAACGCCATCACCGATTTTAGGGCGAAACATCGCCAGTCTTAGGGGTGCAATGGAGCCGAAATCATCATCCCCCGTTTGAATCGATATTTTTCCTATAGGACCCGGCACCGCGGAATTTTCTCTCTCGCGCCTAGATTTCGAGTAGTTTGTTCCGGTGGGAAGTTTCGGTTTTCTTGGCGTCTAGTGTTCAGAGTTAGAAACTCGCTGATATAAGAAAAATAAAACTACCTAATTTTACTAAAAATAAAAATTAATAGATTAGATTTTAGATAATAATGAACATTTACTATGCTAATTAACTAAACTTTTTGTATTGGATTGGTGACCTCAAGTGTGTTTTGGTGCAGTGATAGTGAACTAGTGTTTTTACGTTTTTGGCCGTTATAATGTCCGTGAAAAAGTTTCTGCTTTTCACCTTTCTGGTGATATGGCAACATCTTCAGGTGGTAGCTTCTAAAAAAGAAGGTAAGACATTTTTCAACATACTTACCATGAATTGAGAAATTACCTATGAATCTTCATTGAAAGTTACTCCCCAGAAAATTACCACGGTTGCATAGAAGTTCACTCAACAGTTGTCAACATAATCAACGCCATAATCTGTAAATGAATTAAAGAAAAAAACAACACACCCATTGTGTCCTGGAATATTTTTGCTATTTGAGTTTGCAGTAGAATGGGAGAAATTTTTTTTTTTGAAAATTTATACAAATTTGGTAAGAGAACGACCGATTTTCTGGTCACTCCGAAGCTTTCCAGCTAGCCCCGCCGGATTCAAAAATTGTTCACGATCTACAGCCGCTGTTCTGTTTAATCTAAAATTTTATACATTCTCTCTCTAGACAGTTACAGGATATTTCCAAATTGCCGAAAAAAGTTGATAGGATTACAAAGAATAAATTACCTGTTCTTTTCAAGTGTTATACTATTAGTCTTTCGTCAAGCTTTCTTCTTACTAGGCTTCGGTATTTGGAACGCTTGAATCTCAAAATGCCTCAGTTGTGCAAACTCAGCATCCTGCAGATGAACCTTCATTTATCTGCCCGGGTATTTATTTTCAGAGGTTCAACTAGGTGAGCTTTCGTTCGCGAATCATTAGTACTCGCCTTCAGCTTGAGGTTCGGTGGTTTGAGTGACCACATGAAACTGGCGTAGAGTAATTAATCCATTCTTGATGCTTACTAGCGTGCTGACGAGTCTGTTAGCTTATTTTGAAATTCTGTAGTGTAGTACAACATACCCTGATTCGTTCATCAAGATTGAACAGTTTGAATTTTTATTGTCTCTTCTTTTAATAAATCTCCTGAAAAACTAAATGAAAAACAAATACCTACGTTGTCGAAACTTACCCAATTTTACTTACTTGAAATGCGCCTGACAATAGCAAAATTAGGGAAATTTGAGGGAAGTTGTGATATGTAAAATAAACGGAAAATTTGTGAAAAGTCTAATTTATTATTGAAGAAAATCGTACCGGAACCTGGAAGTCACGAGGGGAGCACGGCAGAGAAACCCTCGATCTCAATTCCTCAAAAAAAAAAAACAAAACATACTGTGTCATTTTATTAATAATTTAAGTTATTAATAGTTTAAATCAGGTACCGTCCATGTGCAAACATTTAAATTCCACATTTTACATTCAATACTGAAGAGTTATTGGTTAGTTAGCCAGTCTCACCAGCAGGTACTGAGGTCCCATTCGGGAGGCTACTCAGCTATAGTTGTTATTTTTGAGCCAATACTCTAGACTGATCACTTAATTTTTTTTCTAGGATATTCGCTCAGTCAGGGTAGGAAAATGTTATTAGATTCAACAAGGCCCTAATGCACAATCTGTATTCAAAAATTAAAATCCCAGCACAAAAGACAGCACATAATTTCTTAGGTTTTTTAATTCAGTTTTTATCTTCGTTGTTCACAGCATGCAACGATTTTTGTTAAATACATGAACAATGGAAATGTTGTGAAATATAGTATAAACGAACAAAAAAATACATGAAAATGAAAAATAATTCGTGTATAAATTGAACTCTCAAAACAAATAACATTTATTTAACTGACCTGTGAATGCTCCTTTGACACACAAACTAATCACAAACTTGATTGAACAATCAGTTTAATATAAAATAAAATCGTTAACGTTCTAAAAATTTAAGATTTGAAGAAATAATATTCCAAATAGGTGGTTTTTCTCAGTAGACGTTGATGAAATAAGAAAAAAAGTTAGCTTAAATCATAATATAGACTGTTTTGATGTGTACCTGAAGACAATTGGATACACCTCGCCCTACATTAACAAATTACTCTACTTATTTCCCAAGCTATAATATAAAACTACAATATTTTACAGTGTCAATATTTTTAAAATTCTTTATTCAAGAAACATTTTTTCAAAATGCGGAAAAACACTACAATAACAAATTCAATAATCATTTCCCCAATAAGCGTGAGCGTGATCACAATTTACAACTTGGATTCCAAATTAAAATCTTTCGTAACATTTTTATTTTGAAATAATTACCTTGTGTACCTATACATATAGGCAAATAAATGGAAAACAGTTTATCACTTTTTGATGTATTGATTTGAAATTTTGAATACGTGGATAATTCTATTTAGTCGAACACAATTTAAAAAAATTTATGTTCACAAAAGGCAACAATTGAGCTTGAAAAATTAACATAAAACCTATTTCCCAGGTCGAACCTGGTAATTCCTTTTTTCCTCAGCAAAAGGCTTGTCAGGATAGTTAATTAAAAAATGTATTGCCTCGGAGGCAATATAAAAGATGCTAATGAGAAGGATAAGTAGATTAGCTTTAAAGACCTACTATTATTATCTGAATTTATAAAACAGATTTTATCACAGCAATTTTTATTCATGCTAACAATCATTTTTGTACGATCAATCAGCGATCGGCAGAAATTCCTGTTTGAGCTAAGCGGCATGTTTTAAATTTTCGCCGAGGCCTCATAAAACACGTCAACTTAACGAAAAATCATAGTTGTTATTGTTTCGGTCGCAAAAAAGCAAATGCACAGCGATAATGCCGGATTTTTTATTTTTTATTTGTGAAATTGGATGAAAATGCGTCTCGTTCGGATTATTTTCAAATGTAATCGATTATAGAGAAAATTGAATGGATAAGATTTTGAACGTGGATAAGGCGACATTATTTCTAACGGGGGCTGTGATTAAACGTGATTAAAGAGTAGATTATATTGAAAGAGGAAAATGAGAGAACAAAAAAACCTTATTGGTGAGAAGAAGGAAGAAATACATCAGGACAACAAAATCCAAAGATATTACGACCACAATATCACCTCAGCAATGAGAAGAGTATTTCGAAAAATTACTGACAGAACAACGGGCA